TGTGTCACCGTGCCGCCGTGTTGCTGTGTCGCCGTGTCGTCATGCCACCGTGTCGTCATCCCGCCGTGCCGCGGTGCCATTGTCAGCTACTGTGGCCGTGGTGATGGTGGACGCTGTGCTCCACCTGGACGCGGAGGGCTGGGCGATCGACTTTGAGGCATGGCTCGTCAACCTCCGCTGTCAGCTTACAGGTCAGTGCTAGGACGGCTACTCCCTAGCCATCCATGTCGACGGTAAGCTTCCCTGCCCCGCCGCGCCTATTGCCCACCCTGACGCTCCCATGTCTATAGAGCGTGAGGCCTTTGCTGCTACTGAGCTTGCCCGCGCTGTTTGGGAGTCGCGCGACGCGGTAGCGCAGCTTGCTATTACTCATGCCCTCCCCCTGTCTGTGCGTCCCCGCTTTACTGCTGTAGCGAATGCGAATGAATAATTAGATGCAATCATCGCTCACTATTCCACTCCCTCCTCCGCCTCAGCCGGTCGTCTGATCCTCCCCATGCTGTTCCCGGATCTTGCGTCCTTCCCCACTGTCGCTGACCTTGCCACTCATCTGTGCGCACTTGAGAATACAGTAGTTGCTGTTCCCTCCTCCCCTCTGCGCTACCCTTTACCTCATTGCCACGCGCCTTCCTAACCATCTTGCCACTGTCCGCGTCCACTTCCTTAGAAGCACCCAGGTGACCTCACCCTTCCTGCCTTTCTCACCGCCTTGTCCGCGATAGAGACCCGCCAGCGCACTATCGCTCAGTCTAGCGGTATTGCGGCGGTCCCTGTCTTCCAGAGTTGTGATCCCTCCTAGTGCACTTACTCTGACGTCTCTGCCGCTGTTGTTGAGACGACCCCTGCTGCTGAGACCATTGTGGCGGCCTCGGCGCAGGCTCGTCAGGGTAGGATATGTCGGGCCGTGGGGGGCGTGGCGGCGGGAGGGGTGGTGGGGGTGGCGGAGGTGGCAGAGGTGGCGGCGGTGGTGGAGGGGACGGTGGTGCAGACGAGGGGACCGGGGCTGATGCCCCGGTTCAGCAGTAGGAGCAACAGCAGCAGCCCCAGCAGTAGCACCAGCAGCAGCAGCAGCAGCCGCAGCAGCAGCCGCCGTTGGGACCCCCGCCACCGTAGTGGGCCGGAGGCGCTAGTAGTGGTGGTCGTGGTGGTGGGCCGCGCAACTTGGTGTTGGGTGGCGGCTCCAGTGTGGTCACCTGCCAGTACCAGCTTCAGTCCGGCCCCCGCCACGGCATCGTCTGCAACTGTCCCAAACACACCGCTGCTACCGCCGCCTGGACGACTTCTTTCGTCTCCGCTTTGGCTCCGCGTCCGACCCCCTCGACCGGTACAGCCCGGTGCATCACCTTGTGCCTGTCTTCGAGCTGGATATGGATCACATTAGGTCTGCTATGTATGTCATGTACTGTATGCTGATGACCCTAGTGCGACTCGACCCTATTACCCTGTGTTGCCTAGTGTAGGTGTGTTCACAGTGTGTAGCCTAAGTTCTCCTGTTGCGTCAAGCGTAGGACCACCTGCCTTGTTTAGCCTCGGCTCCACTCTAGCTCCTCCGCCTACGGACGCCACCGCCAACCTCTCTTTCACTCTAGAATCGGGTGCGTTCACCTGCTTCTTTCGCGACCACACTGCGCTCACGTCGCTTGCCGCCCCTGCCGCTGTAGCACTTGCTGACCCCTCCTCAGGTCCGGTAGTTGCACGTAGCTCCACTACCCTTCCCTGTAAGGGAGCCTAAGGGAACCGCCGGACAGGGAAGGGTAGTGGAGCTACGTGCAACTACCGGACCTGAGGAGGGGTCAGCAAGCGCTACAGCTGCAGAGGCAGCAAACGGTGTGAGCACAGTGTGGACGCAAAAGAAGCAGGCGGACGCACCCGAGTCTAGCGTGAAAGAGAGTGCGGCAGTGGCGTCCGAAGGCGGAGGAGCTAGACTGGAGCCGAGGCTAAACAAGGCAGGTGGTCCTACGCCTGACACAGCAGGAGAACCTAGGCTACACAAAGTGGACACACCTACACTAGGCAACACCGAGTAATAAGGTCCAGTCACACTAGAGTCATCAGCATACATGACATACATAGCCGTCCTAATGTGATCCATGTCAAGCTCAACGATAGGCACACTGTGGCGCGCCAGGGCGTACCAGTCCAGAGGGTCTGACGCGGGACCAAAGCGGAGACAGAAGAGGTCGTGGAGGCTGCGGTAACAGCGGGCGACGGTATGACTGGGACGGTCGCAGACGGTGTCGCGGCGGGGGCTGGTCTGAAGTAGGTACTGGCACGTGACCACATTGGAGCAGCCATCCAATACCGAGATGCGCGGCGCACCACCACGACAACCACCACCAGCGCCACCAAGCCACGACGGCAGTGGGGGTCCCCACGGCGGCTGCTGCTGCTGCTGAGGTGGCTGCTGCTCCGGGGAACCACGGCTGCAGCAGCTGACTGCCGCTGACAAAGGGAGGAGAGAAAGCGGAGGAGGGCAGTGGAGAGCGGTGGAGTACGGTGGAGTGCGTTGGAGTGTGGTGGGGAGCGGTGGAGTGCGGTGGAGAGCGGTTAAGTGCGGTGGAGAGGGGTGGAGACTGCCGGCGGGAGCGCCGACTCAGAGGGGAAGCCAAGGCCGCCGGGGTGGGGGCGGCGGCTGGCGGCTACGGGCGTCTGGCAGCGACGGGTGGGCGGCTACAGGCGGGCCAGCGGCTACGGGCGGGCTGGCGGCAACCAATGGCCAGTGGGGACGGGCGGCCAGCGGCTACTGGCGGCTGGCGGCTACAGGCGGCCAGCGGCTACGGGTGGCTGGCGGCAGTGGGCGGCCAGTGGCGACGGGCGGCTGGCGGCAATGGGCGGCCAGCGGCTACTGGCGGCTGGCGGCTACGGGCGGCCAGCGGCTATGGGCGGCTGGCGGCAGCGGGCGGCCAGCGGCGACGGGCGGGCTGGCAGCAACGGGCGGCCAGCGGGGACAGGCGGGCTGGCGGCGACGGGCGGCCAGCGGCGACAGGCGGCCAGCGGCGGCGGGAGGCTGGCGGCTACAGGCGGCGACAGGCGGCCAGCGGGCTACGGGCAGCTGGCGGCTACTAGCGGCAGCGACAGGCGGCGGGCAGCTGGTGGCTAAGGGCGGCCAGCGGGCTGGCGGCTACGGGTGGCGACAGGCGGCCAGCGGGCTACGGGCAGCTGGTGGCTACGAGCGGCAGCGACGGGCAGCTGGTGATAAGAGCGGCCAGCGGGCTGGCGGCTACGGGCTGCTGGCGGCTAAGGGCGGCCAGCAGGCTGGCGGCTACGGGCGGCTGGCGGCTACGGGCGGCCAGCGGCGACAGGCGGCCAGCAGGCTGCGATCGACGGGCGGCGGGTAGCCGGCGGCTATGGGCGACGGGTGGCTGGCGACGGGCGGCTAGCGACGAGCGGCTTGGGCTAGGGCTAGGACGAGGGCGGAAGCACGGGTGGGCGGGATCCTAACCTCGCGTGATACCATCTCAGAGTAAAAGAGTTACCGTAATCACCCGGATAGACGCCCCTAGGGGCGTTTATAGGACTGGTTTGAAAACGTTGGGGGGCGTTTAATTGAATAAAAAATATACGCCCCTGGGCGTTTAAAACGATATATAAGCAAATTGATTTTTCTACATCAAATTGTAGCTTTTGATTTGTTTCATGCGATGGGATCACTTCTAACGAAGATTCTCAAGTCCATCGGGCTGAAAGTTCAGTCAGCAATGTGCCAGGCTGGAAGCAGACGAATCTGACGCGAATCCTGCTGGCGCGAAATGTCGAAGGGCGCAAATTGCGCTTCTGGCTGGCACAGAGCGAGAATTCTCGCTATTACCCGAACCCGTTCATTCGTTTTTGCACAGTTTTTACGAAATAATAGAGGGGCGTATATGGTACACACTTTCGAAAAGTAGGGGGGGCGTTTAATCAAACAATAGCTATAAGTCCCAAAGCACGAGATAAAGCCCATGGGACTTATCCTACGGAGGGGCGTCTATCCGGGTGATTACGGTAACTAGAATGATGGGGTACAAGGGAATATAACCAAAGGTGTTGTACTCTATATGAGCATGCACCTATATTATAATTTTTAACACACGTAGTGTTTTTAAAAAATTGTGTATTGTGAAAGCGAAGCTGATTGTACTGAAGCGTTGGGCATCGTCGAAGCGCGCTACTCGCCCTTCTCCAACTACATATACGTGGGTTGGAGCTCATTTACCTCCACCCACGTCTCTCATTTTTCAAACGGCTCAGTCAACCTTCCCACCCAACCCCCTCTAGACAACCGCCCATCTCCAATGGACAGCCGGTCACTTGAACGGGAGCACACTGTTGAGTGACCCGCTGGGGTTGCCCTTGAGATCCTCGGGGAAGGGCCACAGGTGCAGAGCCTGGGGGGCTATGGGCGCACTTACCCGCTATTCAACAAGCCCTTTTAACCCAGTGGTTAGTGACTGGGTTTCTGACATGGTAACAGAGCCAAAGGTCTTGGGTTCAACTCCCAGTGCCAGCGCCACAGAGGCGCTCGTGTCTTCCACCTATCCCAGCGGGGGGGGGGGTGTTGAGTGACCCACTGGGGTTGCCCTTGAGATCCTCGGGGAAGGGCCACAGGTGCAGAGCCTGGGGGGCTATGGGCGCACTTACCCGCTATTCAACAAGCCCTTTTAACCCAGTGGTTAGTGACTGGGTTTCTGACACACACAACTAGGATCATGATGTGTGTATGTTTAGATTCTTATAAGCTAGTAAGCGACTATTGTACCATGCCACTTGAAATGAGAACGATGCCTATTGCAAAGGACAAGAAAGCAAGCTTTCTCAATATAATATATACAAAATATATGTTGACAAAATCCACCCTGTATCACTCATTCTAGTTCATTGCGTTCTTCTTAGAGCAGGCTCCGCCTCCGCTGCCACCCGCCGCCGCCACCGCCGCAGTCGCTGCTGCCGCCGCCGGCGCTGCCCCCGCCGCTGATGTCGAGGGGTCGACCTGCTGTAGACTCCCAAAGCTGCTGCTGGGTATGATGGGGGTGTTAGGACTTGAGGGTGTTGGGCTTGTGGTGTGCTCTAACTTTCTCTAGCACCTACCAAGCCTAGGGGGTGTGTCAACATATATATTCATACATATGTATGTGTGTAGGCTAGGCAAGTGCATTACTCTGACTGGAACATACTGTAGAGAGGACAACCCACTTCTTGCACCTCTCTTCTGGTCGATCTCTTTTCTCTCGCCATTTTCTACTACCTAGCTAAACGTCTCGTAAGAGATACCATATGACCGCCCGGCCAGTATTGCTCTTCCACAAGATTTACGTCTTCCCCTGAGTGGGGCCCACCATGCTCTAACGAATCAAGCTGCAGGCGCCGCTGGTGTTCCCGCCCCTTCACCCCTCCCCTCTTTCCCCCTCCGGCCCCGCTTCCCTCGCCTCCACGGCCACCGCAGCCGCGGCTCGGGCGGGAAGAGGCTGCGGCGGTGGTGGTTGGCCGACCGCTCCCACGTGCAGTAGATGGCAGCGGCAGCGAAGACGGCGGCGGCGGAGAGGCCGGCGAGGAGGCCGAAGTGTTGGACGTCGTGCGCGATGATGGCGAGCGCCAGCATGACCAGCTCCGCCAGGCTGGCCAGCGCCACCTCCGTGGTGCCCACGATGTTGGCCTGCGCGGGCGGGATGGCCACCTGGAAGATCTGCGCGTCCACCACATCGTACGTCCAGTGACCCAGGCGCGATACCACCTGCCAGAGAAGAGAGGGACGGGGGGGGAGCGGGAAATTCGGGAGGGTGTTTGAGGTTGTTGTTGGAGTGACTGAGAGACAAGACCTGCGCGTCCACCATGTCGAAAGCCCAGCAACCCAGGAGCGACAGCACCTGCAGAGCGGGGGGGGGGGGGGGGAGGGGGGGGAAGAGGAGGGGGGGAGGGGGAAAGGGGTGGTTGGGGTGGGTGCTTCAGGTGGTTGTTTGATATACTCAGAGACAAGGTCCGCGAATCCACCACGTCGAGTGGGCCAGGTGAGATAGAACCTGCAGGGAGGGATGGAGTCGGGGAGGACCAGTGCATCCGGTTGGGCAGGATAAAGAAACACGACACAAGAGATTGCACGCAACTGAGAAAGCCGACTCCCGCACTCACGTGGCACAGCAGTAGCATACTGTCTTGGTGCATGGCTGGGTGCATGGCTGGGTGCATGGCTGGGTGCATGGCTGGGTGCATGGCTGGGTGCATGGCTGGGTGCATGGCTGGGTGCAGGGCTGGGCCGGAACGAGAAATCCGACGGAGACATTCCACATGGCATATGCAAGCGACTCACGATGAGGGCGAGGAAGGCGAGCAGCAGCGAGTGGTGGTGGCGCATGGAGTGCGAGACAGCGAACACCGCCAGGGACAGCGCCAGCACCACCGACTGGAACAGCAGCGCCGCGCCGCCCGCCTGGTGGGGTGACAGGGGGAGGCCGGGCGCAGGGAAGAAGAATGAGGATTCGCATCATTGCAAAGTAGGGGCTTGGGGCTATAGGCAGAGGAAGGCTTGGTGGGTAGAGAAGACAGGTGGAGGGAGGAAATGGGAAACTTGCAGAAGGAGAGAGTGCCTTTCAGGCATTGTGGATCTGAAGCAAGGGTTGGGGAGCAGGTGGCCGGTGATGAATGGCCCGGTGACTCGCAGCGCCCGCCACCTGCTCCATGCGCTGCCTCGCCCCACCTGCAGCAGGCCGACGCGCGTGATGAGCAGCGGCGAGAGAAAGGTGGCTGCAAAGCCCATGGCGGCACACGCCCCGCGGAAGGCACCGATCACCGACACGTCCACCCCTGGGAGGGGTGGGGGGAAAGAGAGATGGAGAGATGGAGAGATGGAGGGGATGGGGCGAGAAAGGTACAACAAGACAGCGGGAGTTCAGCGTCTCGCCACCAGATGCCACCATGCCTACCTCCGTCCTCCACCCGCTAGCCACCCCCTCACCCTTCATCCCGCGCCCACTCAGCTTGGCGTACGGAGCTGTGCCTAGTAAACCACAGTGCCCACCCACCCATCCACCACGCCACACATCCCTTCCTCCACCCTCTCCCGTCCCACCATCCATGCCCCCTCCCCCCCATTATGCCCCCTACAGTGGGAGTTACCTTGCTGAGTGAGGAAGCTGGTGATGAGGCCGCCGGGCGATAGCACGCAGTTGAAGAAGAGCAGCACGTACGCCACGCTCACCGCCAGCACCGGCTGCCCCAGGAAGCTGCGCCACCCGCGCGCCACCGACCGCACCGACAGCCCCACCACTGACCCCACAGCCCGCCACGCTGCAACCCCTGCCACCACTACCGCCCTGACTGCCGATGCGAGCAGCAGAGGGAGGGGTGTGGCGCTGGCAGCGGCAAGGAATGTGCGCCCGGCTGCTGTGCCTCGTGCCGCATTTGCTGCCCATGCAGCAGCGGCTCCTTCCTCGTTGCTTCTCCGGTGCCTCCTGCTGCTGGTGCCGCTGCCGCTGCTGCCATACGATGCTCCGTTGCCCGTTTGGGACAGCTCCGGCAATGGAGAGGCGGCGCTCACAAGTTCTGGTGCGCCTGGCGCCGAGGAAGGGGCCTTTGGGCGGCTGAGGACGCCCTTGGACTGGCGGTCGGTGCGCAGCACGAGGACGATCTGACGGGCCCGCGGCGTGAGAAGTGGGAGGTGCGGGAGAACGAGAGAGAATGGGAGTGAGGAAGACGGGTATGCGAGTGAGATGGAGTGCGAGTGAGGATGACGCGGGTGAAAGTACAGCAGGAAAGGAGAAGGGGAGAATGATAACAAGCAAGGATCAGGGGTGAGAAGGAGGTAGAGTGGGAGGGTAAGCAGCACACGAGGGTGGGCAGCGAGCTCACAAGGGTGGGCAGGAAGAGCAGGTGGGCAATGCGCTCACGAGGGTGGGCAGGGAGGCGAGCATGGTGGCGAGGGAGGCGTGGAGGCACACGATGGGGCTGAACGCCGACAGCAGCCACCCGAACACCAGAGGGCCCGCCACCTGGCGACCAGTGATTGGATGAAGGTGGGCGCCGAGGGAAGAGGGAGGATGTGAGGAAAGTGAGAAGGGAGTTACACCAAGGACAAGCAACATACCGATGAATCACTCTCGCGCGAATACTGATACTGTGCATGAATGATGGTTGAAGGAATGAAGGGCATTGTGCGCGCACACGGCACACAGCAGCACGGAAGCAGAGGGACGAGGGGCGCTCGTAGCAGCAGAAACGCGAGGGAGGTGAGGAGGTCATAGCAGACAGCGCAGGGGGGAAGGGGGGGGGGGGGGGGCTCATCACAGCCCCAGCACGCACATCGCAGAAGAGGTCGGCCCGGCGCAGCATGGCGTTGGCATTGGCCAGCGCTGCGGCGTTGTCCTGCCCGGCTAGCTGCAGCGACGGTGCGGTGAGCAGGGAAGACGATATGCGCGCAGATGGTAGGGAGAGCGAGAAGCGAGGAGAGGGAGCAGAGGGGAGGGAGACGAGTGAAGGGGTGAGGAGCGCAGCGAGGGAGGAGAGCACATGCTGGTGCTCGTTTCCACGTGAAGCAGAAGAATACGTGCACCACAGGCGCCACACACCCACCACAGAGACACACAGATGCACACATGCGCGCACGCACACACACACCCCCACCATGCACTCAGTCCCACCATGCACTCAGTCCCACCATGCACTCAGTCCCACCCACCCACACCCCCCCCTACGCACGAGAATGACCCAGTCGCGCTCAAACGCCACCCCCGAGGCGATCCCCGTGATGCGCTCCACAGCGCCCGCCACCACCAGCACCGCAAACCACCCCCGCCGCATCAGCGCCGCCCCCGTCTGCCCCGCTGCGCCCGGCGCTGCGTGCACCGCCGCCATGGTGGCCAGCACCGCCGCCACCATCGCTGCTGTCTGGGGGAGAGGAGGTGCGGGGAAGGGGAAGAAAAAATAGAGGGAAGACGATGTCATCAGAGCGCGTAGCAAAGGGTTGGACGCTGAAGGGAATGAGAAAGAAGATAAAGGGTGGAGAGAAGAAGATAAAGGGTGGAGAGAAGAAGATAAAGGGTGGAGAGAAGAAGATAAAGGGTGGAGAGAAGAAGATAAAGGGTGGAGAGAAGAAGAGGACAGCGAGTGTGACAAAGGGGAAGGGCCGTGGATTCCACTCCCATCATCTCAAACACAAACACCTGAGAAGTAGAACCAGGGCTGCGCTGTGCACCTGGATGCAGGAGATGACGTTGAAGGCCAGCACGCGCGGCGCCGAGTCCATGATGTCGCCCACCAGAGGCGCCGCCACGAACACCGCCAGCTGGTGTTTGGGGGGGGGGAGGGAGGGAGGATGAGGGGGATGGGGGCTAGAAGAAGGAATGGGGGGCGGGGGGCGGTTGGCGGAAGGATGGGAAGAAAGGAGGTGGACGGGGCGACCGGATGGGCGGACGAGAGGAGGTGAAGGAGAAGCGGATGCTGGGGAATGCAGAGTGGTGGACGAGCACGTGGGAAGGCGTTGCGCGCACCTGGCTGGCAAAGCTGGCGACGGCGACGGGCAGCAGCGAGTCGTGCAGCAGCGCCAGCAGCGCGGCGCCCGTGAAGCGCCACGCGTGCTCCACGAAGCAGTTGAACACGAACGCCAGGTACAAAGCTGGTGGGGGGGGGGGGGGGTGGGAGGGGGAGGTGGGAGAGGGAAGACAAAGGGGGGGAAAGGGGGGTGAGAATGCGCAGCCCTGCGAAGAGAGGGCCGGCAAATTCGGCTACACCGGAGAGCGACTTTCCAGCCCCCCCTGCGCTGCCCGTTCTGCCCTTGCGCGCGTCACTCTGCGTTGCCCGTGCAGCGCATACAGTTGAGCGCGGCGGGGAATGCGGGTGGCCTGTCCGCCACCACCAGCCGCTCGTCGTCGCTCGAGTCCGCGCTCGCATCACAACGCCCCCCCCCCTCCGCGCGCTGCTCTCCCTCCGCCGCCCCCGGTACTTCTGCGTCTCTCCGCCCTACCAGCAGACCCGTGCCAGGCGCGCACCCGCTGCTCCCCTCATCGCGCCCCTCCCTGCCATCCTCCGCGCCCCCACAAAGCCCCTCGCCCTCCTGCGGCTCTGCCTCCCCACTCACCACCTCGCCCTCGCTCCTCCCCGCCTCCCCGCCCAGCTTCGCCCTCTCCGCCTCTCCCCTCTCCGTCTCTCCGCCCTGCGCCGCTCTTCTCTCCGCGCCCCCGCGCGACTCCCGCATCGCCAGCTCCAGCTGAGCGCGCTCCAACTCCAACCTCTCCTGCGCCAGCGCAAATCTCCTCCCTTCCCCCTCCGCCTCAGCTTTCCCCCGCAGACTCACTCCCGCGTTCCCCTCTGCCCCCAGCCGCACCCACGCTGCCTCCGCGTCTCCTGCGCCTGCGCACACCATCCCCCCACTCTGGGCCACTGCTCCGCCCACTGCCCGCGCTATTAACTCCGCCTCGTCCGCCTCCGTCCACGCGCCCCCTTGCCCCGCAAGTCCGTCCCCCCTCGCCCCTTGCCCCTCCTGCTGCGCGCTGCCTCCTGCGCAACACACTTCCCCCTCAACCCTCTCCGCGCTCTCCCCACCCTCCTCGCCCCCGAGCACGGACTGCACCGGCCCCACCACCAGCGCTTCCGCCCACACCGCCCGCGCGGCCTCGGCGCTCGGCTGCGCGCCGTCGCTGGCAGAAAGGTGTGCCACTCTTATCAGACCGCTTCGCTTCTGTTTCACAACCTCTCCCCGGTTCGTTCCACGCCGTTGCTTAGCAGCAGCCCTGCTAGCAGCGCTCCTCTCCGCGCCAGCAGCGCTCGACGCAGCAGCGGCGCGCGTCCCTAGCAGCCCCGGACGACCAGCCGATCGGCCTGTCACCGCGCCTTGGCGCGAGGCGGCGGCGACCGGCGGCAGGGGCGACGGCGCGAGAACTGCCGCGGCGATGGAGCGGGAGGCCATGGCAGCGTGCCGTGCGCGATGGCCGCACGACGGGGCGGAATGGGCGGCCGCAGGCCAACGGCGGACAGCGATGGGCGACACAGCGGACGGTCAGAGGAAACCCCCCGGAACTGGGAGCGCCTGCCTTAGAATGGTGACGTCAGTGGCACATAGAGCGTGAATATGCATGGTGTGAGTCGTGTGGCGCTGTGCCAGTGGGATGTAATGGTGTTGCTCCTGGCGGTTGAGGGCTTTGCTTGGAGCGTTCATTTCACTCAATAACCTACCCAACCGTTCACTAAGGAGAAATGATTGTTTGGAAATGCAAAGAAACTCACTGAACCGTACTAGAGTGAACGCTCACAACACTCCTGCTTGGAGTTCTGACGAGGGGAATCTTCCTGGCGACGCGCGCGCCACGTTGGCACATCGATGTTTGCTTGGTGGCCGCTCATTTGGTGAAAAGGTGCTCTGCTGTTTGGTATCGATGTACGCGATACAGGCACGCGGATTGGGTTGTCATGTCAATGTCAGCTCAATGCACCGATCATATCTTGTCACAAATTAACATCCCCACTCAGGCTGAACGCTAATTTTGCTTCTTGAACAACCGAGCTCTTATCGAGGGCCTTTTGCTCTACCCATTGGCTGGAAGATTCTTTGCCCTCGCCAACAGCAGGTGCTTTCAGCTCTGTCATTCGCTCCCTACCCTCGCTGCGACCCCGCCCCTCCCCGTGTTCTGTCACATCCGCACCGCTGGAGTCACCTCCTCGCTCATCCCCCAGCTACTGCCCCCCCAAGCCATCTGCATTCCCCGCCATACAGCCCAGACCAAGGCTGTCCCACTGATAGCGCACGCCAGAGACTATCTGCACCGCCGTCCCGCCACTCGCCATACCTCCGCGCCATTCACTGCGAGCTGGAAGCGGGTCCTCCGCCTCTCCCGCTGCGCGCGTCGCTCCTCTCCGCGGCCTGAGCATGGCGCCCGCTTTTCTCGCCGCTGGCGCGTCGCAGCTCGCGTGGCGCGGAGTTCCTCGCTCCGCGCACGGCGCATGGCGGAGAACAGCGGCGGACGGCGCGGAGACGAGCGAGGTGCGTGGGTGGCGTTGCAGCGCGGGGCAGAGGCCGCATTCCCCGCCGCCGATCGGCGCGCAACGGCGGTGCGCGGCGACGCGAAGCACCATGGTGATGCCGCGACGCTCAATGCCGCGCCGCGCTCCGCTTCTCCCGCCCTCGCACCGCCAAGCGGGGTGGCCTTGAGCACACTCGACTGGCAGCCCAACGCACAGGCGCGCTCAGCCACACGCTGCGCGGCGGGATTCCGCCGTCGCAAGGCCCGTGCGGCCTGGCTTATGCCTTCAAGCCACGGCAGCGGGCGCAGGCACGAGCGATACATGGTTGTTCCCCAGCCGACGAGAGTGCGTGCACACGTGCACACGTGCTCACCCCCACCGTCCCTCCCTCCTCGCCTCTCCTTGGCCCCCGCGCACTCATCCGCACGGCCCTCCCCCCCGCCTTTCGTTCAGGGCCCACCTGGAAGCTGCCGGCAGGCAACGACTGGAAGCAGGTGGCGCGGGGACACGTGGCGGCTGAGGAGTGGGCGAGCAGCAGCGGGCAGAGGGAATGGCGGCGGGAGAATGGGAGGCAGGGGGCAGGCACGCGCAAGCCTGGATGAGGTGAGGGGGGAGGATGGGGATGGGGATGGGGATGAGGGGGTGAGGTGGGAGGGTGGGGTGAGTGGGGACGTGGGGTTGGGGGGGGAGCGGCAGCACTGCCGTTTTGACTCTGTCATCCTCACGAGATGAGGGCTCGGGTTCATTGCAGTCTTGCCGCCCAACGATCTTGAAATGTATTCCTTCTCCTTGTACCAATTTCGCGTCCCCTCGCCATTCTCTGCCCCTCGCCCTCCTCGCACACGGCACGCACGTCTCGCCAGCTGGCGGGCGTGCTGCTGTTCTCCGCGTTCCCCTTCGCCGCCGTGAAGGCCATCGCCAACAGCGGCGTGGGCAGGCGGCTGAGTGAGCGCCTGGAGGAGAGACTGCCGGAGCTGAGGAGGCAGGCGGAGAGGGACGAGGTGGAGAGGCAAAGGGCGAGGGAACAGAGGTGAGTCAGCGGCTGTGAAGAGTCAGCTCGCTGGTCTTGGCAGTCTACTCACTCTCGCTCGCCACTGCGCATCCCATCACCTGGTTACCACTCACACCGCTGCTGCGTGTCATGTGGCCCTTCATCTCGTCCCTCCTCCTCATTCCCTCCTCCCCTCCCCCCACCCCCATCAGCCCGTGGTACGGCGCTGCCCGCCCGCGCTGGCTGGACCCGGTGCCGTGGGCGTACCCGCCGTACCTGAACGGGCAGGTGGCGGGCGACTTTGGCTTCGACCCCGCCGGGCTCGCCAGGGAGCCGACTGCCTTCCAACGGCTGTACAAGTGAGGGGAGGAGGGGGAGGGGGAGGGGGAGGGGGATGGAGTGCATGAGCAAGTTTGGCGGAAGTGAGTGAGTGAGTGAGTGCGTGGATGGGTGAGTGCGCCGGCCTGCACACACGGGTTTTGCTGGTGCGAGAGCTCATGCTGCTTCCCCACTGCCTCCTCGCCCACCCTCAGCATCGTGCATGCATGCACGGCGGGCCACACTCCTCCCCTGTCCGACTTACCTTTCTGTCACCGCACCGCACCCCACCCCACCCATCACGCCGGCCTCGACATGGTGCCCTTGCCTGGGCGAGGTGCATGCGGAGCTGCTGCAGCGCTGCACAAGCACGGCTCCCCTTGAGCCAGTGGGGTGGCGTGTGGGGCATGGCGAGATGCAGGAGGCGGGCATCTGGTCCCCCACTCACCCCCCTTCCCCCACTCACCCCCCTTCCCCCACTCACCCCCCTTCCCCCACTCACCCCCCTTCCCCCACTCACCCCCCTTCCCCCACTCTTGAGGTCGGGCTGCGCCGTGGGCCGTGCTGGGTGTGGTGCTGGGCGAGCGGCGGCAGCAGCAGCATCACTGACAGCCGTTTCAGAGCCGCTGCGCTGCGTGGAAGCCGCCAAGCGGCAGTCAGCTGAAACTTGCACACCGCACCCTCCCCCCATCCCGCAGCCTCGAAGTTGTGCACGCGCGGTGGGCGATGCTGGGTGCCCTGGGCGTGGTGGTGCCGGAGCTGATGCAGCGGTACAGCGGCACGGCCTTCCTGGAGGCGGTGTGGTGGCGCGTGGGGTACGCCAAGCTGCAGGGCGACGACCTGGACTACCTGGGCGTGCCGGGGTTGCACATCGCGGGCGGGCAGGGCGTGGCCATCATTGCTGTGGCGCAGCTGCTGCTCATGGTGGGAATGAGACGTCAACCGCTCCAACCACCTGGGCTGGCCGTACCTGGGGTGCATATTGGCATGGGACAGGGGGCTGCCATCATTGCTGCTGCTCCATTTCGACTATGGGCAGCGCCTGGGGTGCATGAGGTGGTGGGCACCAAGGCGGCAATGCAGACACGCCCACACTTACCCAATCGGCGATGTCGCATTGGACCCACCTTCTCTGTCGGGCCCTCCACCATGCAGTCCTCTCGAGTCACCACCTGGGCACACTGCTGGGTTCTGGAGCTTTGAGCCTCTTCTTCCGCCGCCATCATGCGCACCTCTTCTCCGCCCCATCGTGCCCCGGGTCCTCCACTCCCCCACAAGCTCCTCTGGTGCCCCGGGTCCTCCACTCCCCCACAAGCTCAGTCCAGGGTATGAGCGCCACACGTACATCTGCGCGTTGGAGCCACCCACCCATCGTCTGCCTCCTGCCTTCTTCTCTGCGCCCATCTCCCCTCCCTCCCTCCCCCCCCCAGCTGGGCCCCGAGTACGCGCGGTACACGGGCATCCGAGCCTTGGAGCCGCTGGGCATCTTCCTGCCGGGCGACATCAACCACCCGGGCGGCTGGCTCTTCGACCCGCTGGGGCTCGCCAACAATGCTCAGCGCTTCGAGGACCTCAAGGTGCAGAGGCATGTGCATGAGCAGGTGATGGTGGGAGTGCATGCATGCGGCGGTCAGGAGTGGTGAGCCGTGTGTGCAAGCGAGGATGGTGGAGAGCCCATCGCTCTCCAACCCACTGGGACTCGCCAAGGATTCTGCACGGTTTGCTAACATATGCATGCCGTGGAAGGCGTGCATGGCATGGGATGGTGTGTGCATGCGCATGGCATGGTGTGTGCATGTGTCAAGCACTGGGAGGGATGCGAGTCGCAGGGTCCCTGCTTGCGATGCTGATCCGCAGCGTTGCTTGCTGAGCCGCCTTGGCTCTTCTGGGTGTGCAGGACCCTTTTCCAGTCCTCAGGACATGGAGGGATGGGCCCTTGGAGGAAAGACTCTTCCAGCGATCCAGCCCCAAGGGACTGCACACTCTCACCACGCACCCAGTCTGCTTGTCTCTCCTCTGCCCCCATCCAGGTGCGGGAGATCAAGAATGGGCGGCTGGCAATGATGGCGTGGGTGGGGTTTGCCGCCCAGGCGGTGGTGACGAGGCAGGGGGTGCTGGACAACTGGGATGCCTTCCTGGCGGAACCCCTGCGCACCAACGCCCTCGCCCTCGCTCTCGCCCTGCACTAGCTCTGCACCTCTGCAACCCTCCGCTGCGCATGGGTTGGTGCCAGATCACTGTGTCAAATCAAATAGTCGCAAGATAAAATTGTCTCATGCCACCGAACCGACAGTGCGTGGCGAAGTGATGAAGCTGTTGGCACAGATAAGCTAAGCATCGTGATCCTCCGACAGGTGGTGCATGTGTGCACAGAGATGGCATGGAAGCTAAAGTGTACAAAGAATGCAAAATCAAAATACTTGCCTTATACCGTGCTAAATATTTCGAAGCACCGCATAGTTCTCAACTCAAGTTTTGTTAAGATAGTCAACTTATATGTATTTGTATACGTTGTAGATATAGGCTAGAAGGGTTAGTGTTCCTAGAGAGTAAAACACCAAACCATATATATATCAGAAAGAAAAGGATTGAACTAGAATGTGTGTATACAAGGATAAAAAGACTAGGGTGTTGTACCCTCTAAGGCACAATCCAGTATAGTCTACAGTAACGATCTAAGTTACATTTGACACCCCCTAGACTATATAGGGGCAATGCCTAACGAGGGAAGAAGCAGCTCAGGGCGGCACTACTAGTCCAGCCTCTGAGACAAGGGTCTAAAGACCAGTCAAAAGGAGTACAGACAAGGCAAGAGCAAGCCCAGGGCGGCACTACTAGTCCAGCCACTAGGAGAGGCTACAAGGCCAGTCTGGGTAAAATATATATATATAAAGGACAGTACAAAGTCAAGGCACTAGCAAGTGAGAGGCTACAGGAACGAGACCCAGCTGTACACAGTGCCGCTGATAATCTTTAGGCGCAAGCGCCTTCGTAAAGATATTGGATGTGTTGGCACCGGAGGCCAAGTGTACTACGCGCTCCTGGCGACGCTGCTGCAGCTCACACAGGAGGAAGTACCGCATCTGAATGTGCTTCGCTCTGCCCTCGAGTCGAGGTTCCTGACACAGGAGGATCATGGCCCTGTTGTCAGCGCACAGGACCGGGGCAGAGCTAGGCCGCTCACCTAAGTCAGTGAGTAAGAAGGTCAGCCAGCGGAGCTCCTGTGCCGCCATGATACCGGCGTAGATCTCGGCCTCACAGCTGGACTGGGCAACAGACGAGGAGCGGTTACCTCTCCACGAGACGGCACCTGAACCAAGGCTGAAGCAGTAGCCCTGTAAGGACCTGAGTGTCTCGGCGTCGTCTGCCCAAGAAGCGTCTGTGTGTCCAGCAAGGACCACTGGCCTACGTCCTCCTAGCACTAACCCCATGCCCGATGTACTTGCAAGATAACGCAAAACCCTCTTAGTGACAGACCAATGCTGAGGTCGGTGTCTCGCCACAAAGCAAGCCAGCATGCTGAGAGGATATGGGAGATCTGGGCGCGTGCAAGTCATCAGGTACATGAGGCAACCCACCAGCTCTGCGTAAGGACTACTGGGCTCTGCTGACTCCTCAGGAACTGAAGCGGAGAGCCTGTGGTCTAGAGGCAGAGGAGTAGGCTGTGCAGAGGAGAACTGAAGGCCGAACCTCTGAAGGACCTGGCGCACCAAGTGTGACTGAGTCAAAGTGATGGTGCGGGCTGCTCTGTCCCTGGAGATCTGCAAGCCAAGGTAGTGGCGCAGTTCTCCAAGGTCAGTGCAGGTGTGTCTCTTCAGCAGCTCTGCCTTCACGGAGGCCAGTGCGTCCCTGTTTGCCGTGGCGAAGACCAGGTCGTCTACGTAAACAAGGATGTAGAACGGATTCTAGCCAGCACGAACGAAGAGCGAGGGGTCTGCAGAGGGCGGAAAGAACTGCAGGTCAGCAAGCGTAACACGCAGCGTGTCGTGCCACTCACGGGGAGCATGCCGCAGGCCGTAGACGGGGCGCCGGAGGAGCCACTGGGTCCCATAAGGGAAGGTACCAGTAAAGCCCTGAGGGCGACGTAGGTAGACCTGCTCGTGTAGACTGCCCTGAAGAAACGCAGTGGAGAAGTCGAGGGAGTAAAGCTCGTAGTCACGTTGCGCTGCTACATGTAGTAGCACCCGAAGAGTAGTCATCTTCGAGGTCGGAGCGAAGGTCTGGAAGAAGGCCACCCCCTCACGCTGACTAAAACCTCTAGCCACGTAGCGCGCCTTGAACACAGGCGGCTCTCCAGGAGGGCGCTTCACCTTGAAGAGCCAGCGGCCATCGACTACATTCACCCCAGGTGCGGGAACTGCGTCGACGTAGGTGCCGGTGGATCTCCAAGATGCCATCTCCTGCTCCATGGCAGCTATCCACTGAGAGGCCCAGGATCCCGAGACCGCCTCAGCGTAAGTGCGAGGGGTCGGGATGTCGAAAGCGTCGGGGTCACCTTCAGGGACTAGAAGCGTGGAACAGAGATGGGGAGCAGCCTGGGACAGGAAGGCAAGCTCGTACTGGCGGTCCTCCAGGACGTCACTGCCAAGGGCAGGAGCACCCCCGACAGACGGAGGACAGGCAGGGTCAGAGACCAGAGCGGTGGCGTAGTCAAGGCGGCGGGTAGAGGCGAAGTCAGCAACCGCAGCGACAAGGGCGTCAAGGCTCGAAACCGGAACAGACGGGTCAGTAACGAGAGAGGCAAGGACCCGAGGAACAAGAGGACGAGCGGCACGCAGGTAGTCAGACAGAGGGGGGGGAGCAACGACAAGAGAGGACGGAGGGGGCGACGGGAGAAGGGGAGGACGAGACGCGTGGGAATGAAGCAATATAGGGCGAGAGCGCGAGACAGGGGAGACAGGTCGAGCACGGGAGGGACGGCGAGACCAGACGTGAGACGGGGGAGTCAGGTCAGGAGACAGAGGAGGGGACACAGGAGGGAAACGAGGGGGGAAACGGGCCGGAGACGCGTCCGGAGGAGGGAACACAGGGCCGGAGACAGGAGGAGGAGGAGGCACGAGCACGGGGTCAGGGGACAGAAGGCTGAGCAGGCGAAGAGCGGACACCGGCGGGGACTGCTGTGACGGCGGTGTGACGCCGACACCGGGACCGCAAGCTGCCGGGCACCTACCTCTAGAACACTCCACACCAGCACCCCCAGAAGAAACACCCCCAGAGCTCAGAACCCCTCGAGCACCGGTACCACCCCCAAGCTCGCCGGGACAAGCCACGACAGGATTCCCAGGACTAGTACCCACCCCAACTCCACCACCCCCAGAGGCAACCATCTGCTGCGGCGACGGCTGCCGCGGCGGCGATCGCAACGACGGCTGCGGCGACGGCGGTGGCGGTGACGACGGCTGCGACAGTGGTGGCGACTTCGGCTGCGGAGGCGGCGGAGGAGGGGACACCTGAAAAGGGGCAGGCGGCGACCAGGGAAGGGGTGACCAGGAACACGGGAGGGGTAACCAGGGGACCTCGGTGGGGGAAGTGGCGGAAGAAGGAGATGGACTTGTCAAAGGTGACGTCACGGGAGTGAAAGAACCTGTGAGACGGCGGGTGGTAGAAGTGCCAGTCAGACGCGTCAAGGGGGAAGCCGAGGAAGACACAGGGAAGGGTGCGGGCAGTGAGCTTGTTCGTGCCAGAGGCATGAACGTGAGCAAGACAGCCCCAGACGTGGAACGCAGATGCGTCACCAGGTGACCCAGACCAAAGGAGGGTCGGCGAAACCTGAGGCTGCTGGGGGTGCGGCCACAGGTTAGGCTGGTGAGCGGAGTAGCGAACGGCGAACGGCCACAGAAAATGGGGTGCACCGGCATGGATCATGGAGGTGCGAGCCACCTCCATGACCAAACCAATGCGTCGCTCAGCAACCCCTTTCTGATGCGGGGAGTCCGGCAAGGTGAACGTCTGGGTGATGCCCTCCGCACGACAGAAACGACCAAGGACACCAGAGGCAAACTCGTCACCACGGTCGGAGTGGAGGCGCAAGACAGGGAGACCGCGACGGACACGCGCAGCGACAAGCCACGGGATAAGAACGGCAGGCACGTCGGCCTTCCGCTCCAGGGGGAACACAATGGTGTAGCGCGTGTAGTCATCGACAAGCACTAGGAAGTAGCGCTCTCGACGCGGCCCATGGACGGGGGCGGGGCCCCAGACGTCCATGTGCAGAGTCTGTAGCGGTGCGGCGGTAGGGGGAAACGAGGAGGAGTGAGGAGCACGGCGAAGCCGGCCCTCGACACAAGGCATGCAAGGTGGGGCAGGGGAGGAGGGAAACTCAGAGAACGACCCAGGGAGGCCTAGGACGAGACCGTGCTGTGACATGTGACGCAGATGCGGGAGCGCAGGGTGACCTAGACGGTGGTGCCACAAGAGAGTCGGGTGGGTGAGTGACCGACAGGAGCAGGCAGCAGCAGCCTGGGTAGACGCAGCCACCTGAGGGGGGGTCCCAGCTGGGGGGGTCACTGTGTCCAGTGTGAATAGTCTGGACACCGGGTCCCGGGGGAACGTGGTAAGGGGGGCACCAAAGGGGGCCTCGGTACAGACAGCCTGCCGCTCGTGACCAGGGAACATAGTGGTGACGCCAAGGTCCTGGAGGCAGCCGACACCAACTAGGTTCCTAGAGAACGAGGAGATGTGCAGGCCTGTGAGAGAGCCCGAAGGAACCGCCGGGCAGGGGAGGGTGGTGGAACTGCGGGCAACTACAGGGCTAGAGGAGGGGTCAGCTAGGGAGACGGCGGCAGGGACAGGAAGCGGTGTCAACGTGGTGGAGTCGCGGAAGAAGCACCGGGAAGCGCCAGAGTCGAGGGTGAAGGAGAGCGCGGCAGTGGCGGCCGGAGGCGAAGTAGCGATGGAAGCACCAAGGCTAAACAAAGCAGGGGATCCTACGCCTGATGCAGCAGGGGAGTCTAAGGAAGGCACACCTACACTAGGCAACAACGGGTAATAAGATGGAAGCACACTAGAGTCATCAGCATACATCACATGCAGAGCAGCAACAATCTCATCCATGTCCATATAAAAAATCTGAACCCTACGACTAAGCAAGCTGTGCCAGTCTGGGAGCTGGGGCGACGGGCCGAAACGCTGACGAAACAAATCGTCCAGGTCACGGAAACAGCGGACGGAGGTATGACCGATCTTACCGCAAACGAAGCCACGGTGAGGACTTGTACTGACAGAACGCGGCACCCAAACCACCACTCGGCAGCCCACCACGCGCACCACCACCACGTCCAGCGCTGCCACCAGCGCCGGGCCACCCAGGCGGAAGACGACTCGTCCGCCTCTGCTGCTGCTGCGACTGCTGCAGCTGCGGCGACGGCTGCAGCTGCGGCGGCTGCGGCTGCTGCGGCTGGCGCGGGTCCGGCTGCAACACTGGCGATTGCTGAGACGGCTGCTCGGCTGCACCTGTCCGGGTCCCCGCGTCAGCACCACCACTAGGTGACCCAACTCTAGCACCACCTACACCCGCACCCCCACCCCCGT